ATCTGTTTATTCTTATTCCCAACGGAGCTGTAAACTCCTGGCAGCTCATAAATCAGCTCTTTTAATCAGTCTTTAATTTGCTCGAGTTGATAAATTGCTCTCCTACTTCTCATGTCATCCCACGCACATACACATCAGTGCCCTGTGGCTGCAGACACTAACTCAGGGTCAGCCTATTTGTTTACACTCTCTGAATAAGGACATGAGCCTGAACTGGATTTCTGTTTAGCATCTGGCAGTTTCATCTCTTAATCATGCAGCATGCAGGCTGAAAGCACATTGTAAAATGATAATTCTGCAGGACAATCTGGTTTCTCAGGTCCAAACAGAGGGGAGCAGATCTGCAGAGCAGTATAGATATAAAAAGAAGATCATTTTTGTTTGAGGTGATAATTGCAATACCTCTGCAAGCAGGGATGAAGTGAAGGTTAACTTTGATAAACATCTGTGAGAAACTGATATCTAGACAGATGTATTTTTAATAATAATCATTTGTTGTCTGTGTAGTGAAAAACTAAAATTCAAAGTGCACAGCTGTAGTCTCTGGTGATGCTGAAAACATTCTCTTCAGGTAGCAGCTGAGCTGATATGAAAAAGGTCAAACGGCAGCAGCAGTCAATAGAAATCATAAGGTGACAATGGAAACTGAAGTGATGCCTACAGGCTCAGAATGTCTGCCTGCCAAAGAGTAGCATCAGCGCAAGCACTAACATGCTAATCATCTTTCTTTCTCATACACACTGAAGTTTTAATTATCACACACACAGAGCTAGGCAGAAGCCTGGGTAATTTACAGATTACATGGCGAGTGTCAGCCTGCCTTCACCCTGTGCAAGTACAAATCCCAGCTTTCAGCTCCTTTTTTATTTACTTTTGCAGGGGTTTAATTAAAGTACAGCACAGCCTAACTTAATAGAGAGGGAGAAACAGCATGCTCAGTGTGATCAAGCTTATTTTAGAATATGGTAGTACATTAACACCTTGATTTGAAGAATTTTAACAGATATTACTGACTGAACACAATAGTCCATCACAATTACATATTATGTTAAATTGTCTGTTATTTCTTGTTACACAAGTGAAGTAATACAGTAATTGTTTTTGGTGATTTTTGACATTTCACCTGCTTGCTGAGAGTTATGTAATGATATTGCTACCAGTCTAATGCCCACATGCTAAATATGAGGCTACATCTTTAAATAAGGAAAACTGAACATGACAGTTCCTAAATAAGTTTGATAAAGCTTAAGACAAGACTAAAATGACATGCCAAACTAGTTTTGATCATCATTCTATCACTCTTAATTGGACTTTGCAGCATCATTTAATCACTCATTTCCATGCTTAAAAAAATAATTAGAGTGCTGATGATATGCAAGTGTTTATTCTTATCCACACACATAAACTCCTACTCCTGCTTCACATCATCTCCTCTGCAGGCCTGTGCTGCTTTGGGGGGGGTTTCATCTTTCAAAACACACTCATTAAATTTGACAAAATAACAACACCATTCATTTCCAGGCTCTTCGGTTACATTCAGTGGGGATTTTTGGTAATTATGGGCCGATAAATATAATTCCCATTACAGTAACAGTGAGGGCAAAAACACTGTGGACATTCTGCTGACATTCCTTCATCGTGATCTGTCACATCTGGACAAAGCCAGGGAGCACAGTATATTTGGCTCCAGCTCTACATTATCATAACAAATGTTGACAGCATGTTTTCCCCCCTTTTTCTGACTTGTTTCAAAATTAGCATCTTACAGATAATCAGGGAATTATAGTGAAAGTCTGTTCTAGATTCAGTTATGAAATTCAAACTGGTTTTGGTTAAATTAACATTAAATGTTTTTTTTTTACTATGATCTTTTCGTTTTCATGCTATTGTCTCTGCTATTTATTAAAATTTATGCAAGTTTCAACTCAAAGCAATTACAAGCAAAAGTGGCCAAGCCATGTTCATAGAGGATGCAACAAAGAAGTAAAGATAGTGAAAATGTGTGGGAAGTAAGCAGCAAGAGGGTCATAGCGATAAATACAACTTTGCTGTGCATGGTGAACACTAAGTGGAAGATTTTATAACTATATTTAAAACCGATGAAGATGAACTAATAGAATATTAATGCCATTTACCATGAGAGAATGTGCAGGGGCTATTTGTTACCAAGTTCAATTATAATACTGAAGCTTAATTTCAGTAATGTATTGTGACCATTGACAGTAGAAAATATAGACGCCATGACAGCTTCCAGAAGTGAGGCCACCATGACTGGATCACCCCCTGGTGGTTTGGTTTTTGGTAGATATGATCACGCTGATGTGTGTACAAGTTGTCATTTTTCTGGTATGTTTGCTTTTAATAAGTTATTTGATGATGTAAAAAAGAGGTGTCAGTTGCTTTGACAGCTTTGGCTGTCACTGCACTTCCGGTCGCTACTGCGTAGAATCTGGTTGCAAAAACACAGAGTGGAGGGAAGTGGTGGCGCCATGTTCATCACATACTATATGTCAATGATGGTGACAAATCACTAAGTCTGGGATTGTTACCCTTTAGCCTTTTTCTGCTGCTTTAAAAACACAATCAAACTTTCTTAAATACTTTATCATATGGTTGCATCATCCCTATGTATATTATCATCACTGTCATTATCATCAAAATTTGTAAAATATCAGACCCCTATTTCTTGATTGACTGCCTTCTACTGGGGTTTTAAAGGGCACCTACAAACTGAAGAAGACATGTCTCAGCTCATAGAAGACCAATGTAAGATGATCAAACCAACTAGGATATGCCACTTGACAATATTTTCACTTTGTGAAGAAATGTTTATGAACTGCTGAGAGTGATGGGAAACAGAAAATGGAGCCAACCTCTGGTAAATATTATCATTCAGAGATGTGACCCCAACTTTTGTTGCATACACTCTCACACACATTTGTCTTTCTATCTTTGTGAAGACACACATTGACAAACACATTCCCAGGCCACTTAAACCTAACTTTAACCATCACAACTAAATACCAAACCAACCCTTCCCCTAACCTAAATTTGATTCTAACCTGAACCCTAAAACCAAGTCTCAACCCTCTGTCAGCCCTTTGAAGTTGTGAGGACCGGTCACAATGTCCTCACAGCGATGGCATCAAAGTAAAATTTGTCCACATGTGCACACAGAGTCAGGTATTTAGGGTATGAGGTTATGGGTAAGCTGCCAAAGACCCCACTGGAGACAGAGAAGCGGATATCCAGGGACAGGAAGGGAGAGTTCAGCTCTTCTGTATACAGATACAGGGGAAGACAGAGACCAGAGGGTCTGGGAGAACTCAGCACAACCTCCGACCTCTGACTGCTTCTTCAAACTAAGTCTGTCTACATTTTTTTTTTTTTTGAGAGTGAGAGAGAGAGCAAGGGTAATCGAATCACAGACATTGTGGTCAGGTGGCGTGCACTGTAACCATTCAACACCCAGGGTGCTCCAGTGCATCTGGCACTGTACACCCTGTCCCATTTTATTTCTATTCATTTAGATATAAACCTTTAATGTTTAGGAGCTTTGAATCCAGTGCAAAACAGGCCTGTGTTTGAAGAGAGCTATGAAGACAAATGCTGAAAAAAATGAGGAATTCATAGCAGACTTAAAAAGAAAAGAAAAAAGATGTGTGGGGGGGGGGGTGAAGGTTGCAAGGAAACAAACAGAAATGAAGGAAGTTACTCTTACACTCTTTGGTGTTACGCGGTGCATTCTGGCAGGAGTGGCAAACCATCCCATATAGGTTTCTGGGTCTGGTCTCCAGCATGTAATACCTGAAAGACATAAAATACATAGGGATGTGTCAGAAACGGCGCGCGGATGCGGCCGAAAAGTGTTTGGTGAACTCATTAAATGGCCAGACGAGGAAGTAATGAACAAAACCCGTCTCTTTAATAAGAGAACTAACGTAACAAAAAATCATACAAGACACAGTGGAAACACAAAACCCATGGTCGGTATAACAGTCCGAGATCAGAGGCAGCAAACACGAGAAACAAATGGGCCTGATGATACTAGAAAGAACTGGCAGGGGAGTGTACATGGAGCAGGGAATAAATAGGGAGAACTAATCAGGTGCAGCTGGTGGTAATCAGGGAATAAGAAGCAGGTGTGTCGGAAAACGTAATCAAAGAAAATGCTGGAAAGTCAGAGCTGGGGTCTAGAACAATCTGGCAGCGTCCTGGTAGGAGGACGCTGCCTAAATAGAGGTGCAAACAATAACGAAACAGGTGAAACCAACGTGAGTGATGAAGAATGTAAAAAGACCGAAACTAAGGTGAAACAAAAACAGGAAGTAAAGTCAAAATAACAGCTGGACAGGAAGCAGCGGAACCGAATCATGACAGGGATGAGATATCTTCTAGAACATACCTTACACCTACACAGTGCATAAGTGTGAAGACACAACTGAGGTAAAAAGTTTGACTCAGTGAAGAAATGCACATAATTGATGGCCTGAAGGCACTAAACACACCCAGTGTCACCCGGAGTCATGAAGCAGCTATTAGAAGAAAAGGATAGAGGGAAGCAATAAGGAGCTGAGCCTGTGAATGAGTGACAGTGGTATTAAGTCATTTAGGCTTCAGAACACCAATGGGTACGTACATATAATGTACACAGGTAATTAACTGATGCCTTCATATACTGTAACTGGATATAGTCAGAGAATATGGCTCAGCCTTGTGCTGACAGACACTTGAGCATGACAAAACAAGCATTTATTTAGGGATTTCTAAGGATTTTGGTGGGCAGACAGATGAAGGGACATTTGGTTTCATGTTTGCTGGTGATGGATTTTGCATTTCTGCCATCACACATTCTGCCATTTGTCACTGTATTTTAACTACAAACAACTACGCACAATGACAAATGTGTTAACAGATCATAGCTATGTCCAAACATTATTCATTTCTGGTGAACAAACAACATTTGATCCTTTAAGCAGCTATCTGACAAAGCATTTATTCAAAATGTACCTTTTTATTGAAAATAGTTTGTAATATAAGTATATATTAAAAATCTATTAACTATCTGTAGATGTTTTGCATGACATTTTCTAAAGTTTTATTAAACACTTACAGTGATTTAATTAAATTCTGGAGCTCTATATTTGAAAAGATTTAAGATGGATAGACATAAAAAATGCATTTTTCAAGCTTTATTTATTATCAGTTATTACAAGGGAACCAGCAGATGAATGTGTGTCTCACAACAAACTCATTCTCATGTTCCTGTGCACTGAGCTACAGACTTTGACTTTACACAAAGTGTTCAGGCATGTTCTCATCTCCATCAAGCAACATAACTGCAGTGTGAAACACCCACACGTCCAGTGCCGATAAAGACAGACAGGACAAAAAGCAGTGTTAAACAGCACATTCATTCCTGTAACAATCACATTAATCAAAAGCAAAAACATCCTGTGAAAGGAAAGTGAGAACCAAGAAAGACACCCACACGTCCAGTGCCGATAAAGAAACCAAGAAAACAAGAAGGCAGCAGGACAGGGGAGGAGGTTTCAGCATGGACCTCTCCCAGTTGTATGAGTGGGGAGGGGTTATCCAATAGTCCCAAATCATCAGTCATCTCTCATGTTGATGCCAGTTCCATCAAGACCTGCCTAATTATAAATTACCCACACTTAATCCTAAGTATTGCATGAAAAAACTATATTCGTAAAATAACTGCCTCATGCAGAGCAGGAGATCCAAAACAAGGCATTCAACATCCTGAAAGTTGTATGAAAGAAACAGTCTGTTGTTGACAGAGCCGGTTGATTTATTCAGAGAAGCCAGAGGAGGGGGAGACATAGATAATAGGAAGGAGAAGTTAGGAAATGTTTCCTTATTAACATTTTTAAGTAACAGGGTTTGAATCCACAGCTGTCATGTGCAAATGGAGGAGTTCAGAGTTTAATGTTCGTTTACACACAGAGTGATGGGATGTGTTAAAATGGAGGCAGCAGGGTGGTCTATTCACATGTCAGCTCACAGCACTGTAAAACTTGTGTATGGATACAAGTGCCAGGATTTGAATAGTCAAACTATGCACCGACTATACAGTGCATCGCTGTTTGTGTACGTGCAATACACAGTAAATTCAATCACCAGTCAAGTGTCTGTACACACAGAAGAATATTAGTGAATAAGAGTTTTTTTTATTAATATTATATAAATGCTAAGAGTGACATGAGGCATGGCATCTTTTCTCTTGCAGAAATAATTTACATCCATTAAAAAAAAAACTGTTTTGTTTCATGTAACTAAAGCTAATGTCAGGATGCCTTTAGGCAATGCACAGAACCTCCAAGCTGCCTCCCTGGCAGCGTAATTTAATGTAATGTACAGGATTGTTTAGTAAATGTTTGATGCCTTTTTGTATTTAATGTAGCAAGCAGGTTTTGAATTTTGAGTGTGTGTTTGAGTGTTGTTTACCCAGGTAAACAGGGGCCACACTCTGCGTCACTGTCTGAAGTTCCTGCTATGCGCACCGTGGCTTTATAGAGGGCATCGCAGTCTTTATGGCGTCTGCAGATCTCATACTTCCCTTTGGAATATTTCCCCTGTGGGCACGGCACACAAGCAAAGTCCTCATCCTTCACACCGTAGCCACAGATCTGCAAAACACACACCAACGCACACATATTTACATAAAGATGCAGATTTTTTATTGCATGTTTGCTGTGAATTCAGCGCTCTTTAAACTGGTGGGATCATTCACGACTGTGCTGGGGACACACATTCCAAAAATTACACCCCACACATTCGTAACCCACATCTGTTTCTGTTATGACTGTTTTGAAATGATTACAGACATCCCTGTGTGTGTGTAGCTTTCCACGCCTGGTAGTGTTTAGGATGGCCAACTCATCATTCTGTCCTCACGTCTCGATTGCCTCTCGTCGTGGCAATTCTCCCCACAGTGGGGAGGCAGGACATCAGGCCATACACACACACACAGACACACACTTACAAATCATTCTCTCTCTTTCTGTTCCCTCTCTTTCATCTTTCATTTCCCTCTTACTTTCATCTGTCTATTAAAACAAGCCTATGCTTCTTATCTTTGGGCTACTGTAGACTGACTCTTGAAGAAATCTAATATTCCTGTTTGACATCTGTAAGTCTCAGCTTGACTGTGTGACTCTGTGATGAGCTATCAGCAGGATCTTGTCACTTTTGGTTAAAGGTCGTGTTGGATCTCCTGTACACTTTTCACTATGGCTATGGTTTTGTTCGTCATCTCAATACTTTTCCAAACCAACTGAAAGGTTCTTTTCAAAGCAAATCTGTCGCTTTGAATTGTATGTATCATATATGTCGGAGGTAAGGCAGTAGGCAATTCCTTGAAAGTTGACAGTTAAGAGAAAGAAGGAAAGTGCAGGAGGAGAGAGATGGGCTGATGACATGCAACAAACCTTTCAGGCTGAATCAAACCAAGGAAGTTGCGGTACATGTCTCAAGCCACCAAGCCGCAGTGTCGCCCCTAGGAAACATGCTTCTCATGTCAAGCAGCTTTCGCAGATTTTGCAAGCTGCATGAAACTTCAGTACTCAATGTCTTTAATGTTTCCTCACTTCACCAACACTTTCACCAGGGCTTAGGGCTTTTTTTTAATGAAAATAGCTGCTTACTGTGGCCAAAAACTGTGCCATAGTATTTTTATCCACTGCTGTTACCTTCATCAAGGAGGTTATGTTTTGGTTGTGTGTGTGTGTGTGTATGTGTTGGTTGCACCGCTTACACACTGTGCAGCGTGACCCGCTGGTGAACTGGAAATAAAGAACCAAGCAGGCTAGTGGAAGCTAATGCTACAGGCAGCTGTGATGCTTCCCGGCCAACTCGCTGTCAATAACCGTTGCCCCCACACTACATGATTCCAAGTCATAAATACCAAACATGCATGATACTTATGATTCAGTACTGGGGGCCCTCCGATCCTGTCAGAGGCATAACAATTAGGCTGTTCAGCACCTGACACCACAGGATCTTTTGGCCTGAGAATCACATCTGAGTGCGCTCGCATAGGGAGACGCTCCCATGACTGTCACAAAGACCAAATCAGGCCCAAAACTGTGCTAATTATCCTGTAGCGTGTGGCTGGCTTAATCTTACATCAAATGCTATTCAAAATTTTAAATGCCTATCAGCGTAATTTTTTATGTAATTTAGCTTTAAAGAAGCGCAATAGGTGGTGAATTTAACTCAATTACAGTTTATTTTAATAATTTCTACATGTTTGCACAGGGTAATCCAGCTCAAATAACTTAAAGAGACTTTGATTCATCCTGTTCACCTTTCAGTGTAGCTGTCTCTCTCAGAAGGCGTGGCACCCCGGGGTGTCAGCTGAACCATTTACCTGGACTCTGTTTTCCTTGGCTCTCAGCAAACTGACTGACAGCGACTAAATCGCTAGATCCCAAGTTCTGAACAAAAATGGCACATAGGGTTGTAATGTCAGTGTTTCGTGCTATTTGTTCATTTTGAATGGTTGTAATTGGTTGTTGATTTGGCAGCACTATCCCGGGTCCTTCTAATTCACTGCACTACCTGGTCTTAAAACATACTCACAAACTACTGTATAGGTACATGAAAAGCTACTTAATTACAGTAAGAAACAATATTATGAGTTAAATGAATAGTTTTCAGTGATGTGTGTGTGTGGCATTGTTTTTCTATGCTTGTCCAAAAACTGGGAACACACTTCTTTGTGGGGACTTGCCTTTCTCTAATAAATCATGGAATTTTATGAAAACAATGGGTTACAAGGTCGGAGTTAGGGTTAGGGGTAGGCAAGTAGTGGTTATGATTAAAATTAGGTCTATGTAGGGACTCAGCAAATGACAAAAACAAGAGTCTATGTGTGTGTCTCACCATATGAGGCTCTTGTCCTGGCTGGCACTGAGGGCAGGCTTGGCAGCTGTTACTGGTCTGGTTGAAGAACTCGTACTCTCCACAGCTGGAATACTCTGCACTAGCAAACATACAACACACCTAAAAGGACCGAGAGTGACAGACAAGAAGAGAGAGATGAGAGAAAAGTGGAAAAATGAGTGAGAGACAGACAAAAGTAAAACTTTTGATCAACATATTGTAACGTGTGAGAACAAATACTAATGCAGTCACACTCATAGACTACTGATGACAGCCTCCCAGTACAGGAGGTAGTATTTGTCACTCCCCGTGAATATACATTGAGTTCAACACAACACAGACTGTAGAATGATAATATTTCTTACATTTGTTTATAATTTAATGGTGATTTTATTTCTGTATCAATGTATTTCTGTTGGTAATGATAAAGGAGATCATATAGAAATAAAACAGTTACAAACTAAGACTAACACAAAAACCTCAACTTCATGTTGATTAGCACACATGGAAAGTTGGGGCAATGAGTTTTATGAGAATCAGCTGATGTTAAAGTAAGGTTTTCACTTCTTCAGTTAATACCGTATATACAGTATCTTTCTGATACTGTCAGTCGTCAGTTAAATCTATTTTTTCCTTTCCTTTCCATAAAACTGGAAAAACACACACCATCTTCTACATCTGCCTGCTTCTGTTAAAGGCACTGTTCATTACACAACACCTTCAACAACAGCAGAAATAAATGACAGCTTTGAATGAGGGTTGATTTATTCAGTAAATCCAGCTGGGGAAAGTCAGTCAGCGTGATCCAAACAGCAAAGAAAACAAACATCATAAGCCAAATTCTTCATCTGTGTTACTCATATCAATGAAGATCATTGTTAATTGTGTATCTGTGTATCTGTGTATCTCTGTGTGTGTGTGTGTGTGTGTGTATACGAGAGTTTACACAATACCAGCACTTACTGGTGTGTGTCTACAGTATGTATTGTATTAGTATCTTTGTATGTGTGTGTGGTATTGTGGCTTATTGTAACAAGTAGCAGCTGGTATTTATAAAGTTACCAGCATACTTTGTATTTTTCCCAAACAAAGTAACTGACTTTTAAAATTCTTCTACAGTCCAGAAAATGATGAGGGCAATGTAAACAAGTGCATGACTAAGTCTCTCCATCTTCTCTCTGTTGCTCTAATAACATCGTCCTCTTTCTCTTCTTCCTCATAACCATCTCATGACAGCAGACACAAGACACTGTTTGAGTAAATATAAAACATGTCCACTGCCTGTGTGTGTGTGTATGTGTGTGCAGTATTTGTATGGAGCCAACTCATCTCAGGCCAAACAAATCTGTTTGTAATTTAAACCAGAAAATGAATCTGAAAATGTCGTGAATGATGAACTGACATTTACCTCACACACCTGATGTACACTTAATACACACACACACACACACACACACACACACACCATGAGTCCAAACTTGATCTTGTAGTTTTTTGTTTGTTGTTTTATTTTTGGTAATGCACAGAAAAGTACCTTAAATGTATCTTGACAGTTTTCTCTAATAAAGAATGAAAGGAAAATCGAAACATTTGAGCTACAGTATCTCCAACAGTTTGATTAGACTGAGTGTGTTATAGTGTCTCCTAAAGCCACGTTCCACCGATTAAACATGGCACTCTTTACATTATCAAGCTCACAATGGGTAAAAATGTATTTTTCCTTGTTGTCTAGACCTGCTGTCTAGATTACCCACAATGCAACTCGTCCACCAACCATCAGATCAGTGATTTGTGTGTGTAAAGATAATTAAAGCTACTGTTCAGCTGCTAATGTATCCTCAGACTTCTTTCTAACTTTTTTTATTAGATTTTTAAGCATGTAGTCTGACGCTGACTCAAGTGAAGTCACTTGAAGGCATTTATCAGACTTAAAAAAAAAACTCCCTCTGGAGCTGCAAAAGGCTTTACATAATGTTTTTGTTTTGTTTTGTTTTTTTTCACAAATGCAGTACTGCTCCGCACCATCTGTAAACACTCACTCAACATTTAAAGTCACTGGACCTTCCCTTTAAGAGAAATCGCTTACAGTAGGTGGTTACATGAGCACTCAAGCAACTCGGTATTGCACTTCATAAGAGCAGGGACTCACAAGAGACAGACTTAAAGAAAGAATGATCAACATCAAAGCAGCGTCAGTAGGACAAGAAATCCTGACTCGAAGTCTCTTAAATGTTGCAAGCTGATGGTGTTAATCCTACATTTCCCGTAATGTGCCAAGCAAGATCTTCTTTTATAACTAACTACTTCTATGCGACAACCTTAGAATTAGAATTAGAATTCCTTGACACATCCTTACCGATCCATCTCTCTGGGGGTAACAAGCACTGACAGAGCATTGTGCATAAAGGCTTTCCCTGACTATTTGTACAACCTTGGCTTTCTTTGTCTCTGAAGAGTCACTGAAACTGCAATAATAATCTTCCACCTCCTCATTTTTCTCCACAGCTAGAAAAATAAACTTTTTGACACATCAATTCATGACCTCCTCTTCGCAGCCCAGTGAAATACATTGCTGCACGTGCACACTGCATCTGGTGGGATCTTACTGTCATAAGTTCAAGTTCAAGCTACATTAGAATTTGGCTGGAACATTAATGAACTGTAAACACCAGAAGACGCTTACTGGCATCTGAACAAATATCTATTTTGAGTTCCCCTTCCCATCTATTTACATACTTTCTTTGTCTACATAGCATATTATTAATATTATTATAAAAATGTGACAATTAATTACAACGCTGTTGGATGGTGGTGTTGTGACTCAATGCCACTGACGTAATCCAAATATTTCTTTCCTCCTGACTAGGTGCTCCAGCGCCAGCCTACATGTACTGACTGAATTGGGAGGCTAAGGTGGAGCAGTGGATCACTGCCAGTGGGTTTTAAGGTCAAAACAAGCAGTGAATCTCTAGAATCCTGGTTAGATTAGAAAGATGTCTGCTGTCTGAAGAAACTCTCAGGTTGACTAATTGGTACAAGTGGTGCAGAGTTGTGTAAGCTGCTGGCACATAGCAGCTAATGTCTGGATGAGGTGGTGCCAAGTGTGGAGCTGATTATGGCTGTGGTCCATACTGTTGGACCAATAAGAGTCTCTGCCGGCCAGTAACAGAAATATGATGATGATTTAGGATAAATACTACCACCTGATTACATTATAAAGAGGGGAAAGTAGGAAGGAAGTGAAACAGAGGTGGAAAGAAATGAAGAAAAAGTTTTTTTTTAAAAACGTACCAGTAATGACGACAGGAAGATGGACTTCTTCTGACCTCTGTTCTCTGACATTTTTGCGTCTTCTTCCTGGAGTATAGGAGACAACAGAGACACAGATAAAATGATAAATCAGTAATTGCAAATATACTATATTTACTTTATGTGTGCAGTATCATGTATCCTTCACACAGAGCTAAGGATCAAAGCATTCCTTCCAACTGTGATGCTGTCATGTTGTGGGTATGGGGTGTGTGTGTGTGTGTGTGTGTGTGTGTGATGACTTCACTGTCCTGTTACCATCACGTCACCACCCACAAACATATAATAGCAGCAGAACACCTTGTGGCATTTTTCTGGCTCATAACTGCAAACACCACTGGCTAACCTCTCTTTCAATAAAAGTTGGAGACATCACCTAGTCACATCTGTCCTATGTCTCTCTCCCACCTGGCTAAAGTCTTAGCTGAAATTCCTCTAAAAAAGATTACAAGTCTAGCTTCACATTTTTCCTGCTATAACTAATAATTTCTTCATACTTTATCTGTGTCAATAAAGTCTATTAAACTGCTAAGAAGCAGACTGATGTTCATAAGTTAGCGTGGTCCCAGCTTTAGTCATTTAACCCAAACGGAAACAAACAAAACAAACAAACTCAACTGTAGCTGAGCATATTCAATAATCTATTGTATAGAAATTGATGTTTGGTTTTTTTGTAGAATCTGCTTGAATGTGAGTTGTTGCTCCAGTGAGAGCTGTTCTTAGACAGCTACATCCAGTATTAGGATGTCACTGTATATTAACTAAGAACTACTTGTGTGTTTGTAGTTTCAGGCATTTGGGCCAAGGCAGTTCAAAGCTGCCTTTACAGCCCAAAGCAGCAGTGGCAGGCTGCAGTGTAGCCGCAGTAGCTGCTTATTTTGCCCTGTTTGCTGCTGTTAATACTGCTTATTTTGTATACTTGCACATTGAGAGCTGATGTACCAGAGTCAAATTCCTCGTGTGTTCGACACAGCTGGCCACACACCAGCTGAGACAGCAAAAAGACCAGCTCCTCAAAAGGGAAACCAGAAAGTGGCGAAGTCGCACCAAAGCCCACCTGGACTGCCTGGCACTGCAGGCTCAAAAAGACAAGGAGCTAACCAGCAGTGAGGAGCAGTGGAAGGCCAGACGTGAGGGAAGAGGAAGAGAAGGGTAGCAGAGCATTCCTCCTCTTGAAACCCCCGGCCATCCCCCGTTCTACCTTACCCACTCCTCACTCCCCCTTGCCGTTTCCTACCCTTTACCCCCTGTGCCCTTCATTCAGTGGGAGTGTTTTTCTCTCAGTACAGCAGAACCTAACATGGCGTATGCTAATGTGTAACTGCTTATTATTTACTTTGTACATGTCAGCAAGTACATGCCTTTGATTCCATTTACTGTGTGTTTTTCCTGTATTGGTGTGCACTAAACATGCAGCACGTGTCTTTGTGTGCACATGTGTGTGTAAATAATGTTTTAATTAAAAGGAGATGTGTTGACTACAGGGTCTTCAGCCGTGCTTGAATAGAAGCAATGATTCTTACTGCACATCACACTTTTAAAGGCAGGCCACAGATACAGAATCTGTCTTGCAGGATGGCAATCAGCATGTGGATGTGTGTGTGTGTGTGTGTGTGTGTGTGTGTGTGTGTGAGTGTGTGTGTGTGTGTGTGTGTGGTCTATGGCAATACAGAGAAAAACATGCTGATTCTTTCAGCTTCCTGAAACATGGAGGCTTCCACAAATTCTGCGGAGCTTCTGAGTGTTATATTTTTCTTCCCACTTATGTTTTACTTCTAATCTACAAGCAGCAACAAGATCACATTAATTTATTTTGAACTTGCAAACACCACTACTTCAGTGCCAAAGCATTTATAGCGTACTTATCAAATCTGCCGTTATAAAGTGCTTTACATGGCAGACATAAAAAAGTAAAAAATGCACATACTGTACATTCCAACAGGAATATCACTGAAAGAAGCAAATCAATGAAAACCTTATGATAAAAGTGAGTTTTCAGAAGTGACTTAAAAGAAAATACTGAGTTTGCAAATCTGAGATTCTGAATTGGCGAATGAATCCACTGAGATAAAATAGAAAATTACAAGTCAGTGTTCCAGCCAGTTTTGTAATGATAAATATAAGACACAGAGATAAGAAGTGGAGACTAACTGCTACCCCAAAACATAAAAATCAAAACTGTAATTAGAAAGTATGTTGTATTTCACACTCATACTTATAATCCACTTCTTCACAACTTCCGAGTTAAAATTTATATTCACAGCTAAGTAAGATTTTAAGTAATATTTATGCACTTTGGAATAGTAAGAAAGGCAAACCCAAACACTATCATGCACACTGCCATATACACAAACAGACCTGTAATAACTGTTATCAGGTACATTTCTCATAGAGTCTCTCTCAGTGCTAATTACCACATACTGTATGCAAGAAATAACAACAGGAAGAACAAAATGGTGCCGTTGGCTGCATGAATGTTTATGCGGATATTAAACCCACTGGGTGTGCGTTGTTCTGGCTCTATATACACCAAGAGTCCCTGAGACACCCTGATCCTTTAGCAAGTGGTTTTAGTTTCCTGACATGAGCTGTTTAAAACTATACATTGACAGTGATAGTGGAAAAATCTGAAATGACATAAAGGCACATTATTATTTTGACTGGTGCGCCCTTAAGTCAACTCACTTCAATTCAACATATTAACAGAAGAACTTTAACTCTACCTGAAGTAGTCGGGAGCATCAAAGTCAGATTGTGTGTGTGTGTCTGTGTTTGAGAATGAGAGGAAGAACCTGCCATTATCTGATATCTGAGGTCAAAATCTGTCTGTCTGGCTCCAAACCTCTGATTTCACTTTTTCCTTGTCACAGACTTGAGTGAAAAACCCTCTGATCTTCAGTCATGGCTAATTCCTCACCCCCGAGGGTTTGAGCTTCCTTAAATACAGCCTCCCAACACACACAAAACAGCACACACACACACAAACATTAACAAGTAGATATATGGCCTAGAAATATGCACAAAGTTGGCTTATGAGTGCAAACTAGGTTTAATTGTGCAACACCTTGTGGCAAGATCACAGCTGATGTGTGTGAATGCATTTGTGCATGTGTGAGTGCATGTGTGTGTGAGGCTGTGAGTCACTAATGGCAACATAAAAGGATAGATAGCACTTTTTTTCAACCAGGAAATGAAGAACAGCCAAATGGATGTGGACCCCCTCAAGGCAACTCATTATGGTGTTAAAATAATGCACACACACACACACACACATACATCATCACTGCTGTGTTTGAAGACTCTCTGTCTTCCGACACTGTTCTAACTCTTTCAACCCTCTCTCTGTTTGTCTAACCCAAGCTGTATCTGTCAGGGCAGGTCTGAGATGAAAGTCAACCCAAGTTGTTTGGCACGACACCCCCCTTACCTCTACGGGTATTAATCTTCTAACAATCACATAATCTTTGATTTTTAAAAAAAGCTTTTGTGTTTAGCTGTCTCATCACCACGCAGAGACAATGCACTTCTTAAATGGCACCGGCAGAATGCCATGTTCATACTGTGCAAAAACTCCCAGTATGAATGTGTTAATATAAAGCAGCGGTGTTGCAGAAGAAAAGCATGTTCAGCTCACTTCTCCTGGACAAAGGTTTTGCAGTGTTTGAAGAACATAACATTTTTGCAGCCTCCCTGCCTGCCCCTATTGGCTCTGTCTTTATGTCTGTTTTTTAGTTGGTTGCATTTGACTGCTCTTTTTGTCAGCAAGGGAAATATGAAATTCCACATTGCACTTGGACTTCATACAAAACAAATTAGACTTAGAGAAAATGTCTTTTGTCAAAGCTCTGAGGCCTACAGGCTAAGGATAACGAGCAGAACTTCAAAGCAGAATTAAATCTGTATGGATATGGACTGCAGCTGAACATTACACCCAAATGTGACTGACATAGCTAAAAGTCTATGGGGATCTTTAGAGCCTGTAGGTAAAAGGAGGGGTTGCCATATGGAAATTCCCATAGATCAGATCAAACAAACACTCATAGACAGCAGCAACTTCGCTCCTGTTAATTCTGTGCACTCTTCCACATTTTTGGCAGTCGGAGCAGGCTTCCTCCAATAACTGCCACTCAGTCTCTTGTTATTCATCCTTATGTTTATATTGTCTGTGGTAATACTTTAGATCCTAATGTATTGTTTATATTGTCTGTGGTAATACTTTAGACCCTAATGCATTATTTGCTGTAAATGGAGCAAAAAACACTATGAAAGCTATGACTGACTATGACATCTGATATTTGAAATATCCATAAAAACCATCTCACCACTTGTTATACAAATAAAAGTGCACATTTGGACTGTTGACTGAAGCTACTAGTAGCTGATTTGTTGTCAATATCTGGGGGGACCAGTGTGCAACAATGATGACCCTGGCCAGGAGTAAAAAAGCGTAGCCAAGGTTAACTATGTGCATCATGTATGGTTTAGTATTTCACAGAGCTATCGGGGTTTAATTACTTTGTATTTGTATTAGTCTGTGCCCCAACCTGGCCACCACATCTAAAATGTTCCAGATCTGCGTTCCAAAGTTGGTCAGTGCGCTGCAGAGGAGCTGTGCTGCCAAAAAAGCTCGTTATTTTATCCCTTTACAGACCAGTAATCAACCTATGTCTCAAGCACACATTGCGCAGTCACTGCCTTAAAACCCTGCATTTTTGTGCATGCTCACCTCAAACCCTGCAATTTCCCAGCTAACCAAACAGCAAGTGTAGTGCTATCATACCAAACTCTCCATGTTTGAGCAACTGTGTGCTTCACACTAGCTTATAAACCATTAACACTAAAACATTAGCAAAAAGAACATTTTAAAACGCTGATTTTACAAGTAATAAAACTTTATCCTAGTGGATATGAATCAGAAAACCACTAACACCAGAAATCAAGAAGCTGTAGTCTGTCATTTAGGCCTCCACCAGCTTAGTTTGGGGATGTAAACATTAGCATTTTTAACTTTACACTGCATGACTGTCTAACTTTCATGCCAGGGTTTC